AAACTAACCATAAGGATGGTAAATTCTTTCTTCCAACAACATGCTATATATTAGAAAACAGCTTTTTCCTAATTTACAATCTAATTTTTGATTACTGGAGGGCATATACATTCCAAAAAGTCTCTATGTCTGAACAGAAAAAAAATCAAAAAGGTCCTGGGCTGTCATAAATAAATCCAACCTTTATCAAGTGGAGTTTTATGGGGCTTAGGTTGGAGTATTGAACAGACAAACCAAAAGCTATAAAGTATCTGATGAGTTAGGGGACCCATGACATGTTTTCACTCCTGCTCTTAGGTTAGAAACATAGAATCATAAGTTGGAAGGGACCTCAGGAGGTCATCTAGTTCAACCCCCTGCTCAAAGCAGGACCAATTCCCAACTAAATCATCTCAGCCAGGGCTTTGTCAAGCCGGGCCTTAAAAACCTCCAAGGAAGGAGATTCCATCACCTCCCTAGGTATAGAATCATAGAATAAATAGGTTCTTATGAACTTAAGAAAAGCGGCTGACATTTTGCTCAGTGTGGCATTCTGGATCCTGATTATCAGGTCTTCTGCACAGAGATATTTCTTACTGAAGTCAGTGTAAGTTGCATACGCAAGTGATGGGATAATGAGACCTCTAAATGCTTACTTCATGGGCTGAAATATTTCTCACTACATAAAAAACTGACATGAAATACCAAGTTGTTTTTTAATTAAAATTGCTATTTATGAGAAGTGTCTTGTGTAACAGGGAGCATTGGAGACTAAAGTAGGAGTGTAAAAATAAATAAATACAAAGTTTCTACTCTTCTTAATATTTAGATCTAATGTTTAATTATTTTTGTTTAATCAATATTTAAAAGTTATCATACCTGAACAGCTTTGCTTTCCCAGTGTTTACTTTGCTACAATGTTCCTGATGTTATATTAAAGTCATGCCAACTACTTTCATGTTACCAATACAGAGACTGTAGAAATGTAATAAAAAAGAAACTTAATTAAAATAATATCAGGTATATCAAGGGTGTGCCTTAATTTACCAAATCAACACAAAAAGCTCCCTCTTTTGTGGTGCAGGAGGGAGATAGTTAAAGACAGAGTAACAGCTTTGCCTCTGAATTTCCTTTTTCTGAATGTTTAAAGAATTGCTGTAGTGAATTTTGCAACGGTAGTGGAAGTATATAAGTGTGCAATGTCCGTGCTATGTATGGCAATCAACAACTTTATGTTGCCCATTATAAACAGTATAAATTTGTCATCCTCTGATCAATAATAATCCTTAGACCTTATAGAGCACTTTTCATCTGTAGTTCTCAAAGAACTTTACAAAGATGGATAAATGTAATTGTCACAGTTCCCGGGCTAACTGCATCTCTCTCCTCTCCCCGGTCTGACTCAGTGGTGGGCAACCTGCGGCCCACGGGCTGCATGTGACCTATCAGGGTAATCCTCTGGCAGGCCGCGAGACAGTTTGTTTACAGTGACCGTCCGCAGGCACGGCCGCCCGCAGTTCCCAGTGGCCACGGTTCACCGTTCCCGGCCAATGGGAGTTGTGGGAAGTGGTGCGTGCCTATGGCCGGTCAGTGTAAACAAACTATCTCGCAGCCAGCCAGCGGATTACCCTGATAGGCCACGTGCAGCCCGCAAGCTGCCCACCACTGCTCTGACTTCACCTCCCCTCACCTCTTGGATCCTCTAACCATCACCTTTCTCAGAGTGGAAGCATGCAACTAAATATTTTAGAACTAAAATGTTTCACAGAAAAATAGATGTTAAAACAATAAACAGTCCACATGCTTGCCTGTCTTTTCCTAAGGCTTACCAATCCCTGGATCTGGGGGAAGGCCCACTTCTTTAGACCCCTTCCACGGTATCTCTTTGTGTTAACCTGTCTCCCTGAACTGCTGATGATAAATGACCCTCCTCCCTCCCCGAGAAGGGCTTTTTAACTATTTTGAGTTCTCTTGATCTCTTCCTCTCCAGCACTGGCAGAAAAGCTATGTCACTTTGCTTTGGGGCCTAGAAGTAAGCCATCATTTTGGAATTGCCTCCCCAGTGTTTGTTCAGAGGTTGCTTATCTACAGTTATTGTGTTGCTTCCTTGCTTGTTTTTCCCACACTGTCTATTAAGCTAGAACAATACATACATACAGGAGAGTCTTATAACCTAGTATACATTATGGGACCTAGTCACTGAGGTGAAGGTAAAGTTGTTCATAAAATTATTATAGCTCAATATTGTTAGATTATTACATAGTAATTCCATGTCCATCATGGTAATTATTCTTATTTTATAGTTAGGAAATTGAGCTATTAAGTAGGGCTGTCAAGCGATTAAAAAAATTAATCGTGAGATTTAAAAAATTAATCACGATTAATCACACTGTTAAACAATAATAGAATACCATTTATTTAAATATTTTTGAATGTTTTCTACAATTTCAAATATATTGATTTAAATTACAACACAGAATACAAAGTGTACGGTGCTCACTTTATATTGATTTTTCATTACAAGTGTTTGCACTGTAAAAAGACAAAAGAAATGTATTTTTCAATTCACATAATACAAGTACTGTAATGCAATCTCTTTATCATGAAAGTTGATATGTAGAATTATGTACAAAAATACTGCATTCAAAAATAAAACAATGTAAAACTTTAGAGCTTGCAAGTCCACGCAGTCCTACTTCTTGTTCAGCCAATCGCTCAGACAAACTAGTTTGTTTACATTTGCAAGAGATAATGCTGCCTGCTTCTTGTTTACAATGTCACCTGAAAGTGAGAACAAGTGTTCTCATGGCACTATTGTAGCCGGTGTCGCAAGATATTTACGTGCTAGATGCTCATGCTTCAACCACCATTCCAGGAGACATACATCCATGTTGATGATGGTTTCTGCCCAAAAACCATCCAAAGCAGTGTGGACCGACGCATGTTCATTTTCGTTATCTGAGTAATATGTCACCAGCAGAAGGCTGATTTTCTTTTTTGGTGGTTCGGGTTCTGTAGTTTCAGCATCGGAGTGTTGCTCTTTTAAGACTTATGAAAGCATGCGCTCTACCTCATCCCTCTCAGATTTTGGAAGGCACTTCAGATTCTTAAACCTTGGGTCGACTTCTGTAGCTATCTTTACAAATCTCACATTGGTACATTCTTTGCGTTTTGTCAAATCTGCAGTGAAAGTGTTCTTAAAATGAATGACATGTGCTGGGTCATCATCCGAGACTGCCGCAACATGAAATATATGGCAGAATGTGGGTAAAACAGAGCAGGGGACGTACAATTCTCCCCCAAGGAGTTCAGTCACAAATTTAATTAACGCATTATTTTTTTAACGAGTGTCATCAGCATGGAAGCATGTCCTCTGGAATGGTGGCCAAAGCATGAAGGGGCATACGAATGGTTAGCATATCTGGCATTTAAATACATTGCAAGGCTGGCTACAAAAGTGCTATGCAAATGCCTGTTCTCACTTTCTGATGACATTGTAAATAAGAAGAGGGCATTATCTCCTGTAAATGTAAACAAACTTGTTTGTCTTAGCCATTGGCTGAACAAGAAGTAGGACTGAGTGGACTTGTAGCCTCTGAAGTTTACATTGTTTTGTTTTTGAGTGCAGTTATGTAACAAAAAAAATCTACATTTGTAAGTTGCACTTTCAGGACAAAGAGATTGCACTACAGTGCTTGTATGAGGTGAATTGAACTATACTCTTTCTTCTGTTTATCATTTTTACAGTGCACATATTTGTAATCAAAATATACATTTTGATTTCAATTACAACACAGAATACAAGATATATATGAAAATGTATTAAAAATACAAAATATTTAATAAATTTCAATTGATATTCTCTTAACAGTGTGATTAAAACTGCGATTAATTTCAATTACTTTTTTAAATCACGATTAATTTTTTTTGAGTTAATCGCATGAGTTAACTGCTATTAATCGACAACCCTACTATTAAGTTATTAGTCCAAGGTCATATAGTGAGTCAGTCTCAGAGACATGATTAAAACCAGGGTTCCTGATCTTAGTTCCAACTTTATCCCCTGGGCCACACTGCCTCCAGCATGAACATTCCAAATCTAGTAACACCAGAAACAGATGAAAAGTTTGATTTTTGTCTTTTTAGGGTTATTTATCAAAACAGCAACTAACAGAATTGTTTTGCTTCTGGAGCTGCGAAAATTGTGTCTGCGTCTCTACCTCTACCCTTCCTGCACCCCAAGCCCCTCACCCCCAGCTGGAGCCCTCACCCCCTCCTGCACCCAAACTCCCTGCTCCAGCCCCCTCCGGTACCCTGAACCCCTCATTTCTGGCCCCACCCCAGAGCTTGCACCCCCAGTTAGAGTCCTCACCTACTCCCACCCCACCCCCAGCCTGGAGCCCCCTCCTGCACTCTGAACCCCTCATCCCCAGACCCACCCCAGCGAAAGTGAGTGAGGGTGGGGGAGAGCGAGCCATGGAGGGAGGGGGAACATAGTGAGCATGGGCGGGGCCTCGGGGAATGGGCGGGGCCAGGGTGTTCGGTTTTGTGGGGTTACAAAGTTGGCACCTAGCCCTGCCGCCCCCCTGTGGGACCCGCTGCCCTGAGGGAGCAGAAGCCAGCGGGCGAACACAAGGAGTCCCGAACGTGTGTGACATGGCTCGTGAGGTCCGGGCCTGCCCCCATCGCTTGTTAGTGCCTGGGGCTGGTCGTGCTGGGAAATGGCGGCTGGTACCCCCCAGCTGTTGGCTGTTGCTGGAGGAGTTGAGCGAGAGGGCTTGTAACTGGGCCCAGCGCTGCGGGCCGCGCACAGGGTGAGGCTCGCAAGGCGCCCACTGCCAGGAACTCCGCGCGCCACACCAGCCAGCAGAACTACAATCCCCACAACCCCCCGGGGCAGAGGTGGCGGTGACGTCATCCCTGCACCCTGGCGGCCAGCGGCGAGGCCCGGCGCCGCTATTCGCGGAGCGTTCTGCGCCTGCCTCCGGCTCGGCCGAGCGGAGCGGCGGGAGCATAGAGCGCGGCGTGTGGCGGTGCAGAGCGGCCGGTGGGCGGAGCTGCTTCGCTCCAGCCCCCCCAAGTAAACAGTCGCTAACATGGCGGCTCGGAGGCCTCGCTCCGCCTCGGGTGAGTGAGTCGCCCGTGGGCGCGGCCGCCGCTGTCGGGCCCGCGTGGGGGCGGCTCTGGCCTGGTCCCCTCGCGGGGAGACTCGTTCCCGCCTCAGTCGGGCCCCCTAGTGGGAGCTTCGCTGCCCCGAGCGCCTCCGTGCCGCGGCCGGGGGAGGGGCCTGGCGGGGGCGGCCCCTGGTAGCTGCAGGGCGGAGGGGGCTTGGGAGGAAGCGCCCGGCTCCGGGGATGCGCCGTCGCGTCCTGCCGGGAAGCGGCTGCCCCCGGGGTGGAAGCTGCCGGGCGGGGCTCGGGGCCAGAACTCCTGGGTTCCGTCCTTGCTGCCGCGGCGGAGTCCCTGGGACTCTGTGCGCGGCCCCCGTCGCTTCCTCGCTTGTGGGATGGGGACAGCCCTTAGGTCACCTGCAGCCGGGCTGCTTGGGAGGGTCAAGGCTACAGGGCATAACTGTGTTTAATGCAAGGTCAGATCTTCAGATAAAATGTGCCATCGAAATGTCAAGTATTCAACAAATGCCCCCAGAAATCCTAGCACAGTCAAGAAAGGAGAGGAATGAATAGACGTTGCCATTTAGGACCTTATTCAAAGCCAAGAGATTAAATTTACAAGGTACTTTGCAGAGTTGGGGTGAGGATGAAGAAATTGCCATAGCTTTCTTCCCGTTGAGGCTTGTCTAAATACAAAAGTTGAACCACCATTAGCTGGTATAGTTCTCTCTAGCGTGGACACAGTTATACCCATGTAAAGGTGCTTTATATTGGTATACGTGTCCCTGGTCAAGAAGGGAAGTAAACTATACAAAAGTAATACACCTTTATACTGGTACAGCGGCATCCACAGTAGGGGGTGTAAAACTAACTATTTGGGTTAAAAATAATCACACCCTTAACCATCATAATACTAGTACAAAAACTGTGTCTAGACCAGGCCTAATACAAATAATCCTTATTTGATGTTTCTATCCCCTGTGTATTAAAGTGAACAGTTTGTAGTTGCAGCTACTTACCATTGGTTACCTGGTAACAGGAAAGTTCAGTGCCAACTTGTTGAGGCTGCTGTTTCTGTTATTTGAGTCACTTGCCCTCCATTTTAAGGAGTCAAGACCATTAAGTATTGATTGCAACTGATAGTAATGTGATACACACATAAAACTATGGTATTATCTTCTTAATTTACTAGCTTGATGACCTATATTTACCTCAAAATTTAAAAAAGGCTGAGACTTTTGTATTGAACTACTTACAGTGGTTTTATTAATCATTTTAGTTCTCTTAAAGCATAAATTTACTACACAATTGAGAAGTTCAGAACTAATTCTTTTATAATTTGCTTTGAACACTCACTAAAAGGAGAATCACCTATGGTAATTTTTATTTTAATTTTTTTAAAGAGCCCGACTGTGATGATGATTCTTATGAAGTATTGGATTTAACAGAATATGCAAGGCGTCACCATTGGTGGAATCGTGTGTTTGGCCGAAATTCTGGACCAATTGTAGAAAAGTATTCTGTAGCCACTCAGATTGTAATGGGCGGAGTGACTGGCTGGTGAGAGAGGATCACTTTTGATTATTGTGCCATGCATCTGACTGTTCTTAAATTCTTGACTGTTCTGTATCATTCAAAGTGATAAACTGTTTGAGCTTGCATGGTTTCCTAATTAATAACTCTAAATTCAAGAGATAAGGGAAGAACTGGCACTAGATCAAACCTCAAAAGCACTGCCTCGTGTCAGTCAGTAAAACATGCCTATTATAAAAGAGAGCCCTTGCCAATTATTGCAAAAGAGCTTTGAAGAAGTGACAGAACTCTTAAGATCATTTCTTTAACAAACAAATGGAAAATTACTGTATATAATGCTAGTGTTGCTAATGAGTAGCATATTTTATTAGTTATAAGACAGACATGAGGGCCTATTTGTTTTGTTACTGTGAATAAGACTTGCATGTAAAACAGATCAGAAGAAATGTGGGGCAGACTTTGTCAAGGGCCCCAAATACATTTTTTTAGGTGAAGGTGCTTTTTTGTTTAACAGCAAAAGCCACTTGAAATTGAACAACTTCTATACGGTTTTTCTTACAGATAGTGAAATGTGAAGTTGTATTATATCACTTTAGCTAAAAAAGATATTTCATCTGAGTGTTCTGTTTTAAAAAAAAGTTTACAATCATAAGTACAAAGTATTAACTTAAGTTCTAATATTAAACATTAATATTATATTACAACACTTTTTAAGTTAATGAAAACAGATATTTTTGGATTTAAACAATGCTATTATGTTTAAAATGCAAACACATGAGAACCTGAAAGTAGAACGGGCTAAATGAAAGTGGAATTAATCTCTATTGTACAAGCTGAGTGAAGTGTAAAAACAAACAAAAAAGCATAAATGGTGAAAAGACCATTATTATTTTAAAATTGTTTAAATAATATGAGGTGTTTAATAATAGAGTTGGGGAATTAGTAGTTTCAATATGATTTTTAACCTGTTTGTGTCTCCCTATAGTTTTTATAAATAATAGATAAATGTACAAAAGCCTTTGGAGTTTTTAGAACAAAGTGTAATGGGAGTTTAGTGCCAAAATCATGAAAAGTGCCAAATCGAGGAGTCTAGAAATTGAAGTACTTTTTCTACAAAACAGGTGCAGTTTGTGGAGTGGTAGTGAAACCTGTTTCTAACAGCCCTAGAAAAATACCTCAGTCCTGGCATGCACATGCCTGTGCTAGAACTGACAAGGCGGTGGACTCATCTCAGAGTCTGCCAACAAGAATGTGAAATAGAATGGAAGCTTTTCTCCACTCGAAAATAGACTAAGACCTTGTCTACATGCAATTTTTTGTGCTGGCTTAACTATTTTGTTGGGGGGGGTGTTTATTTTTTTACTGAAATAGTTAAATCGGTATAGCCCCTACTGTGGATGCAGTTATATTGGTACAAAAGTCTCTTTAACCAGTATAGCTTATTTCTCCTTCCCTACCAGAATAGATATACCTATAAAGGCCCCTTTATACTGATATAACTGTTTGCACTAAGGGGGTTGTAATGCTTTAACTGATTGTACCAGTTAAAGTGGTGCAATTTAATTAAATTATTTTGTGTAGACAAGGCCTGAAGCCACCAACTCACTTCCCAGAGGACATCAAATAACCATTAGTTGATAACTGATCTAGACTTGTGCTTGATATACATCACCAAAAAGTGTTTGTATTACATAAATCTATAATTTCTCATAACTTGCAGGCTGCAGAGTAAGAAATAGGAAAGTGAAACTGTCATTTTAGGAATCCAAAATTTTAGTAGGGTTTAATATGAAAACTCTGAAAAATGGCATTGTGGGCCAGACAATCTTAACTTTATTGGAATGTTGTTTTTTTGGGTCTTCTAAGGTGTGCAGGATTTTTGTTCCAGAAAGTTGGAAAACTTGCAGCAACTGCAGTAGGTGGTGGATTTCTTCTACTTCAGGTATATAGAATTTCATATTTTAATATTTAGGGACTGTGTTATAATTGAATTATATGGACAAAACTCAGCTACTGGCTTATACTTGGGTTGGGAAGGGGAAGGTGGGTTCCATATCTATTTCTTATATTAGCCTTGCCAATTAATAGAAAAATACTGCTGCTGTGCTGGTATATTTTTACTTAGTTTTACGTACAGTTTCTTAAAGCTATTGATCAGAAATATAACAGAAAGGAATAATCAAATGTTTTTAAATAAAAGTAGTTTCAAGTGAGCTGAAAGAATGAAAACATAATGCAGAAATTGAAATACTATTTTTGAGTTGATATTGCCAGACTTAGCAAATTGATTATAAAATTGTGGTTGCAGAGATCAAGGAATGTAAGCAGTCTTTATTTTCTGTTAACAGGGGGATGGAATCTCAAAGGTACCTAAGTGTCAAAGGAGTCTAATTCAATCATAGTCTAGGTGTCTAGTTTATTGTTAGGAGTACTTGTGGCACCTTAGAGACTAACAAATTTATTTGAGCATAAGCTTTCGTGGGCTATAGCCCACTTCATCAGATGCATAGAATGGAACATATAGTAAGAAGATATATATACATACAGAGAATATGAAAAGGTGGGAGTTGCCCTACCAACTTTAAGAGGCTAATTGATTAAGGTGAGCTATTATCAGCAGGAGAAAAAAACTTCTGTAGTGATAATCAAGATGGCCCATTTCAGACAATTGACTGAAGTGATTTAGAATAACCCACATATGGAGATGGTGCACAAATCAATTTGACTAGCATGGATACACTGAATTGTTTGCCTTAAACCAGTGCATTACACCTCTGGATCAGTTGGGAATGATTCAATTCTTCGTGTAGGCACAACCTGGGGGTTTAGGAGTGCTCATTGCACTTCAATATTTAAATTCCATTTGTCCCGAAGAGCATGGGTTTGTGTTTCAGAACTGGCTTTCCTGCTTAGCAGTACAACATTCTGCCACTTGGCTAGCCTTATCAATTTGTGTCACACAAATTTTGAATTAAAAAAAGAAACAAAAAGCTTGTAAATCACTAATGAGCCTATATACAAATGGGGAAAACAGGTTTGCTGTATCTGTTTATGTACATTTTGATTTTTTGTGTGTGTGTTGGCCTTTTCTGTGGAAAATATTTGATAAAGAAACTTATGGGGGGAGGGTTGGACAGGGTTGAACTGTTATACCTCAGTTGTACATTTAGGTTCAGTTGTCGCCATCTTTGATTGATTCAGATCATATTCTGATAGAAGTAAATGTCTTAGTCATTTAATTCTAGGTACTTTGCATAGTAAAGATTAGTCAAATTGTATGGTAGTCTAATTACATTTCTATAGTCTTTAAAGTTTTTTCTTTTAAAAATCATCTGTAAATACACAGTGTAAATTCACTTTAATTCAAGAATATATGCTGAATGCATTCATTGAACAGGTAGAAGGGTTTTCAGCAGGTGACTAGAAATTAACTTTTTTTTTTTTAAGTTTCGTTGAAGTTGCAAGTTTCGTTAATGCAAAATGTTGAGAAGTTACAGATACCAGAGGAATCCACTGGAACAAGAAGGGGGCCCATTTGTTGGGAAGTGTACTCAAGTAGAGTCCTATTTGTGTAGTTTTTGAAATTCAAGAAAAACCTTCTAACTTCTTTTTAGTGTATATTAAATTGATTTCAAGGGATCTAGTTGGAAACTAAAAACAAAATATATTATGTGGTTAGTTTCTCACGGGTAGCAGATAAATCAAATTCTGAAAACAGGCTAGTTCAATTAGCAATATTACAACCAATCCTATTAAAAAGTAGTCTTGTAGGGGTGAGGAGAGAGAAGGAAAATAATCCGTTAACATGGCTTTTATAAGTCAAGACCTTATTATCCTCATCAAATCACATGGAAGTTTGATATTTTGAACAATTTAATTTGATTAATTGTGTATCATTTTTTAAACAAGGATTAAATTCTCCTAATGTGCCTGATACAAGGCCAGTTCAAGTCCGCTATAATAGATAGGCACTGGAAAAATAAAAATAACTAATAAAAATAATTCATTTCTCATAACAAACGTAACATCTTTCCTTTTATAGCCTTTAGATTAACTGGTTCCTTATAGTAGGGAGAACTATGGAGAAACATGCCAAATCCTTAAAATGTGGTTCCCCTCTGAAAAGCAACTTTGGTGGTTTTGTTTTTTTAAAAGCACCTTGTCACTTGAGAGATCTGTTTCTTGTGGCAGAGTGCTGTGAGCTAGTAAGTGAGCCAACACTCTGATCACTTCAGGCATCAATCAGCTAATTGGCTGATCAGGCTGGGTGAGCCAATTTGTCCACTAGTAGGAGGGGGGCATAGGAAGGAACTATAGAGAGGGAGTAACCAGGGTTAGCTAAGCCCAATGTGTGCAAAGATCTCAAGGAAGGGAGACCTTTGTTCCTTCCTGGCCCTGCAGGAAAGGACTAAAGCTAGAGAATCACTGTATCTAATCTTGCTACATGGGACTGTATTGGTGAAGGAAGTGTAAATAAATCATGCAAAGTTGCCACTCAGCAGTGAGAGTCTGAGAGGTTCCTGGGGCATCTGAGGATGTTGACGGCGCATGCCCCTTTACTTGTGTATATAAGTCATATATGTTCAGTTTAGTGGCAAAATGTTTTTACTGCTTTTTGCTCCTGTTAGACTAAGGTCTGTGTTTGAGTCAATCTTCTGTTAGCCATTATTTAATCATAAAAAGCTTTATTTATAGTAAGTCATTTATTCTTTCTCTTCCATATTTGGACTCATTCAATTTAGAACACCATTGATGGATTCAAGTCTTCACTTAAATAATTCTGTAACAAATGGAACATTTGAAAACCATACAAGGTGCAAAAATAACACTAGGATTTACCTGGCCTATTCTGGTCTGGCTACATACTCTACTGGTGTTCTGTGATAGCTATGATATTGTGGCAGGATGCATGCCGGGACATCTCAATGAAGTTGGGAGAGGGCAACATGCTACGGGGGTGGGAGAGGATAAAAAGGTGAGAGTTCCTCAAATTCTTGTGTTGAATATCCGACTTGACAGTTTTGTGCCCCATTTGAGAGGGGCATTCAACAGAACTGCCAAAGCAAATAGAATTTTTATATTGGAAATTTGTCTTTAAGCAAATGCATTAGGTCTGACAAGTTTTAGTAGAAATATTTTTGGCCAGATCCTTAGCGTGTGTAAACTAGAGTAGTTCCATTGAGATATCTCTCTCTCTCTCTCTCTCAATGGAACTACTCTAGTTTACACACGCTAAGGATCTGGCCAAAAATATTTCTACTAAAACTTGTCAGACCTAATGAAGAGTTTGAAGAGTTAAACTCCAGGGATTAGATCCTCAGCTAGTGTCAACTGACAGTGCTATTAAAAAAAATATTCTCTCTCTCTCTCTCTCTCTCTCTCTCTCTCTCTCTAAAAAATATTTTTTTTAATGGCACTGTGTCAGTTGACACTAGCTGAGGATCTAATCCCTGGAGTTTAACTCTTCAAAAGGAAGATTTACTTCTCTGTTTCTTTTAGTTCATTTGTTAACTCCTGTATGATAAAGTTAGTGTCTTTAAACACCTTGTTAAAGTGTACACGTGTGTGATGGGTAATGCTGCCCGTTTAAGTATCAGATTTATAAATCTGGAACAGGGTAAACTTTTAAGCATTGTCTGTTGTAAAACTAACTGAATGTTATCTAACGGTAACAAGCCCTTCTTCAGGTTGGTTGGTCTAATATGGGTGAAACTTGCTGTTGGAGAAGTTGGTTCTTTAGTGTACTCTTCCTATTCGATCTACTTCTGCATTCTCTTTATTGTATTCCATAACAAAGGTTTGCACAGCCCATGTGAGTAACTGCAGCGAGGTAATCTAGCTAAGCAGATTCTTTTGAGTTAATGGCTTCAGCAGAACCCAGTGACTGCAAATCAAAATTTGGTGTTTAAGTTCAAGACATTATGGAGGAGTTATTCCTGGCCCCATACTTAAGATTGTGAACCGGGTTCCATTGTATGACTTACTCACTAGATGAATCTCAGATTTTGGGTTCATATAAAAACAAAACTTAACTATAAAGTTTATGGATAATATATATTTTTAATGGATATATAGACTGATTTACCCAACATTTAAAAGACAACTGCAGATCTTTGTAGTCTTGATTTTCCTTCCTTGAATAATTGTGGTGTTATGCGGAATTATTTGTAGTAAGTCATTGTCCACAATGTGATAGGTGTTCTCCACTCTTATAGGAAAATGCAGTCTCTGCCCTAAAAATTTTGCAATCTATGGCCCTACAGCCACTTAAATATGCATTACTTTACTCATGTGAGTAGTCCCATTGACTTCAATGAGACTGTTTATGTGTGTGTCAAGATACACAGCTGCTTAAGTGTTTACAGGTTCAGGGCCTAATAACAAAAATATGGGGGAAGGGGATAAAACCTTCATAGTAAAAAATGTGGGATTTTTTTTGCCCTCTGGGCATTGTTTTTTCAAGTTAGGATGAACTTGTCTGCAACTGCTCCTCTATTTGCCCATAATTAGTTGTCTAATATCTTGTGGGCATTATGGTAGAAGTGGTTCATGTTATTCACTGATACATATACCATTTATTTGGGGCTTAGTGGTGTGGAGAGGGCTAGAGTCCTGTAGTATTAGGTTCTTATTATGCTGAACAGTTTATAATACTAAAGACAAGAGGATAGTTCTCTATTTCCGTGTGAGGTTTAGATAACAAAGTCCCTGAGCGTCCTGTCCTAAATTAAAATTTCAGCAGTGATGCTGAAAGAAACTAAAATGAAACAAAGCTGTATTTTAGTCCTTTGATAAAAGTGCTTTCAGTTTCTATTTTGCTGCAAGTAAAACAGTAATAAATGAGTATATAAATTGACCTGTAAATGTTAACCTGTAAATTAATCTCAAGCATGGTATAAAATAAAAAGTAGAAAAGGGGTGAAAAAAACAAGAATCTATTGAACCTTGCCAGTTCTTTTTCAAAGTATATTTTTGATTTATTACAGAAATAATCTCTGGCATGGTAAAACACAATATCTGTAGCATCTGCAGTTAAAGTACTTGAACTTCCGTTTGTCTTTCTCTAGAAAAAGCAAGCCCACAACAGTTTTTAAAATTGGGTAGACATAAACATCTTGTGATTTGACTCTTTGGATGTTATATTGGTTAGTGTAATTGTTCTTATTTAATATTTTTTTAATTGCCCTAGATTGCCAGTCATAGTGGGTATGTGCAGGTTGACTGGAAGAGAGTTGAAAAAGATGTAAACAAAGCAAAAAGACAGATAAAAAAACGTGCGAACAGGGCAGCACCTGAAATCAACACCCTCATTGAAGAGGTAAGATGTTTTTAAAAAATAAATTGTTCTGAATTGTGTGCTGTTTCATTTTGGTTAAGATTACATTGATTGAGGTTTCTGGCCTTCCACTGCATTTGGTCATAGTTATGCCTGATAACTAATATTCTAGACGGCATGTGCAAAATTTCAGGAGCATAGTCCCGCTTCTTAGGGAAGACTTACACAATCTCATCAACAGAACATATTTCTGTGTTTTAATAAATGTTAGAAGTCCTGCAGGAAAGCCCAGTACCTATTTGTTATACTAATGTTCACTTCCAGGTGAGATTTTTTTGTTCTCATGCCAGACCATAGCAATTACTTGCCTTATGCTGATCAGGCTTCAGGGATTGTCTTCATAAAATAGAGAGGTACAACAGCCATGTGCCAGTTCTGGGAATTTGTATCCTGCTGTAAGGCCAGTTAACCTAGCAAAATATTGGTTGCTTATCACTTTACTTGAGTAAAATAAAGTTGCTTTTTGGTGGTGGTGGTGCAGCTCAAAATTATGATTTTGAAAAAAGTTACCCTTTTCCCCTTTTGAATGAAGTAAAAACATTTTGGAGCTGGTATTAAATCCATGGGTGTTAGTAATCTTTGAGCTTCTTGCCACATCTGGGTAACAGGAGGAGGTGCAAACATCCATCTACAAGGCTTTACTGTTCTCTGCTATACTCTTAACCAAACAAGTGCAGAGAATCTCTAAAATAATTGCTCTTGAAGAACTGTACTAAAAGTAATTAACCCTAAGTGTTTTCATATTGACTTTAAAATGAGGAATGAGTTTGCTTATGCACAGGTAATGGGAACTATGCTTTAGATTGCATGGAGTTGTCCACCTCATTCCTTGAACCAGTTTAGCGAGTGTCCCTCTCCAAAATGTGTCTGTGGTGTGCATATTGTTGATGCATTGAAGAGAAACTACCAACACTCTTCTAGTATAGCTAAGGCCCATTTAGTTTTAGGAATAGTTTCTCGTTTGAGGACTTCCCTTTACCAACAGAATATTAGAAAAAGTGAGTCTTTTTTGCCAGGAGATGTATGGGCTTTTTTTTTTTCACACTTGAAACACATATGTATCTAATTTTCTGACTACTTGTCTTGAAGTCTGATTTTTGTTATGCTGAAGAAAATCATAGCAATGCCCACACTGGTGTCTCTGTAGTTAAAGATGTTGGTGTCTCCAACATAACCTATATAGCATTATTCCTCGGTTGCCAAATTGTTTTTATAATTTTAATTCCAGTCTAAAACTTAGTATACAGCTCTCTAAATCAGATGTAATTTAATCAGTCTTTTTTGACAGGCTGAGGAGTGGACCAGGGAGGAATTAAATCATGTTCAAATGGCTTTGATTTTAAAATTGTAGACTACTCCCATTGTTTGAAATATCGAACGTTTTTGTTTTACAAAATGGCTATTACATCATAGTAAAGATGTAAATCACATTTATTTTGCATACCTGTCATAACACACAGTTTATATTGTGTTGCTACTTATATCCAAACATCTGTTGATATAGTACAATGCTTTCCTATGGTATATGATTTACGGGATTAAAGGTTACAAAAGTGTGGATCAGAAAGAAGTGACCTTGAGATTATAATTAATCTAATTATAATTAATTCCCTGTGTCTGGTTAAAACTGAAATGAGTTTAGTGGTCTTACCGTAGCTCTCACATTTTTACAAAAGAAGCGTACAGTGCAGAGTTTCTGCACAGAAAAAGGCCAGTATTGGCATAAGAACATTGCTAGAAGTCAAAAATGAGGCGCATTGTTAAAGTTTGCAGAGTCTGCGTGCACTATACCTGATTCCAGCATGTGCTATATCTGCTAAACTAACAAGTTTTGAAAAATTAAGTTTATTGAAAATAGTACAAACCTCTGTTCTTGGTTAATCATGATAAAAATACGGAATGTTCCCATTAGGTGTAATGGTTTTTGCACAGATCACTAAAAACTATTTTCTTTTTCAGTCAACAGAATTTATCAAACAGAATATAGTAGTATCCAGTGGATTTGTTGGAGGCTTTTTGTTAGGACTTGCATCTTAAGGACCTGAATTTTGTCTTCCTGATGGCATCAACCACAACAAAGAACAGTAGTAGTGATCAGTGCACTGTCTTAAAGCAAAGCAGTGTGGGTCACTGATCACTCCAGAGCAAGGAGAATGGACTAGCCAGACAAATTGGAAGCTTTTATGTTTTAGGCTTTTGCCTTCTGACGCTTGGCATAAGATTTGCTGAAAAACTGCAGTGTGCTCATAATAGCATTTCTGGACAAAACTGGTTAATTTTCATCATGACTTTTTTATTCTGTGACCATTCAGAAAATACCATTTTTAAAATGTAATTTGTGGGATATAGCTATGTTACAGTAATATAAGAAGGAAAGCTCCATTTTCAATCTGATAGTTTTCCAGTTAAATGTTGTTTTATCTTTATTTAAAAGGTATTGTCCTTCATGCTGTAGTAAATAGTGCCAGTGACTAATAATGTATACAATGTGTAGCTTCAGCCGCAGGGCTGACAATCTTCCTTAGAAATCACTGCAATAATCTATAAATCTGTAATAACTTTTTACAGAAGTATTAAGTAACAAAAAATCATGAGCATATTAAAGATGAAAATCAAACCTTGATGGGGGTCTTTTTGTACTTCCTTTAACATTCAGGGATACGGCACAGGTATTTGCATACAAATTAGTGTATTGTACAAACAGTACACACATTATTTCATCAAATGCATGTCATACATAAATGTGCAGATAGTTACAATTGAAATACGTGTATTTATTATGTAAATATGTACTCTTTAAACCTTTGACACTTAAAATTACATTTTTATATTTTGTAATCCAGGGAGAACAGCTCATTTAATCCACCCTGTTGGAAATCTCAAGTGCTGAGGTTTCTATTTAACATTGAAAATGCTTAGTTGAACTTTAAAGCATGTCAGTACAGTGTAATTTGAGTAATCCAAAAGCTCTTGCCACAGTCAGTTTCAGTAGGCGATAGTTATTCACTTCACTTTCATGTTAACCCCTGGAACTAAACAAAGCTTATATTGCTGGTATGTTCGATCTGAGGTTTTTAGTAGAAGGTGAGTCACTTACTTTGATTTGTAGAAATGTACTCATCCAATATGTAAGTAATCAAAAACTATAAATTGGTAACAAAACAGGGATTCTCCTTCTCCAGCCGCCTATTGGGAACAAATTCCCACTCATCCTGATCTCAAAAGTCTGGGAAAGCAAATGAGTCTTACAGCATGCTCCATAAGTCAGCACACTTGGGGCTGTGTCAGACCAAAGCAGGAAGCAAGTTCTAAAGGGAGAGAGGTTTACATTTGACAGTGAATTTGCAACCTTCCACCCAAGCAGAGATTTAAAAAAAAAAAAAAAAAAAGTGTTTGTCTGCTGTTACCTCTTTATCCCTAACAGATCCACCAACTTCAAGACCTGCCCTGGCCCTCAAACTTGTGAAAATGTGTCGCAAAGAGCAGGCAGATCCCTTCAATCAAAGGAGATGTCATATTTACCAATTTTCCTAATTACTCTTCGCTTCCTACCATACCAACAAGCATTTCCTCACTTATTTCTTGGATTGAGTCTCCCTCATCCTGGTTCAGCCACAGGGTCTGGTTTACATCCGATGAACCAGCCCTGAACATGTAACCCATTTTCCCTTGCTAATATGTTGAATGGCCCAATATATTTTTAGAATACACAGTGGGGAACCCCACATGTGAGACAGCATGTGTGATATGTGGGCTATGTATGCTTACTCCTGAACACAAGGGAACAAGGAAAGTAGGAAGTAAACTATGACTACCTGGCAAGTTTGGAGTGGGATAGCTCAGTGGTTTGAGCATTGGCCTGCTAAACCCAGGGTTGTGAGTTCAATCCTTGAGGGGACCACTTAGGGATCTGGGGCAAAATCAGTACTTGGTCCTGCTAGTGAAGGCAGGGGGCTGGACTCAATGACCTTTCAAGGTCACTTCCAGTTCTAGGATATAGGATATCTCCATTAATTTATTTATTTATTTAAGTTTAGAGGGCTATCGGAGCCAGAGAGACTTCAAAATGCAGAAATCTAACCATAGAGAAACCAATCACTAGAAGCATAAATTAAATCAGGTAATATGTAAGAGGGCCAAAATAGATTTTGAAGAGCAAATATATAAAGGTAGAAAACAATATATTTGCTTCCTGCTTCTGTTAGAATGAAAGAATCTGTGGGTCCTTAGTATCACTAGAAGTTAGAGAGCCATTATACAAATCAGTAGTATGCCACCATTTAGAATACAATGTGGATTTGTGTCACCCTATCTCAAAAAGGATATTGCAGAATTAGAGGGGCTCCAGAGAAAGGCGACAATGATTAAGGGATGGGAAAACTCATATAAAGAGAGATTGAAAAGATTTAGGATTGTTCACTTTAGAAAGGAAACAATAACCGGGGACAGGATAAAAATATGTAACATAATAGATGGTCTAGAGAAGTATCAGAGGGGTAGCCGTGTTAGTCTGAATCTGTAAAAAGTAACAGAGGGTCCTGTGGCACCTTTAAGACTAACAGAAGTATTGGGAGCATAAGCTTTCGTGGGTAAGAACCTCACTTCTTCAGATGCAAGAAGTGGTACAGAGAAGGTCTAGAGAAGGTACATCAGGAGTTTGTTTCCCCTCTCATGTAAAATAACAACAAAGGGATATTCAAAGAAATTGAAAGGTAAAAAATTCAGAACTGGTAAAGGGAAATACATTTTCACTCAGTGTATATTTGGATGGTGGAACTCAGTGCTCTAGGAAGTCATTGAAGCCAAGAATTCAGTGATAATCAAGGAGGGACTGGACATTTATATGAATAACAAGACTATCCCGAGTTGTTATAGTTAATTCTAATACATTTTTTGGAAAAGTTCTAAAACTTCATGTTTAAAGACTTATCCTAATCCTTAATAGACAGATATTAGTTTGACACCTTAATGAGGAGCAGATTAACCCACATCTGCTTCCTGGTGGGTTTTGTGAACATTCCTCTGTAGCATCTGATGCTGGCCACTGTTGGAAACTGGATACTGACCAGACAGACCACAGGTCTGATCCAGTATGGCAATTCCTATATCCCTGTTAACATGTAACAAACATAATGAAGTTTTCTGCATAGTGGGTTTTGAGAGTGCTCTTTAATAAGTTGTCTATTCAATTTGTATACATATATCTTGATAATCAACACTTCAACAGTTATTTCTAGGTAGCTAAACCAACGTCAAGCAATTTGTCATTTATACCGAGCCTCGTTCTGTTCCCATTGAAATCAATGGGAGTTTTGCTATTGAATTTTAAGGGACCAGAATTTGTCTCATTGTCTGTGGAGGCCATTTTCATGCAAAATGCAAACTGAAAATGGCAGCACTGAAATTAAACATATAGCAGATATTCAACAGTGCAGCAGTTTTCAAGTGTATTTGTCTTAAGAATAAAGGCATAAGCATGCAGTAGTCTTTAGAAATGGAGAAACTACCAAAATTAAACACAGAAGGAGAAAATGTTGCTCTTTAAACAGTAGTACTTCAAGATGTTTCATAAAGTCTGTAATTTCCAGTGCTGAGAAGGAAGCATCACAAAATATATAATAGAGACCTTTATTCACATCTAAAGATGTGGGGGGAAACTAAGCAGAAGAGTGTTTTCACTGTTGAGTGCTGTTTTTTTTATTTGCAATGCTCATGTATATTTCAATGGAAGTATCTGCAGCTGGCTGACTGTGACCCAAATGTTGTGGTGATAGAGGTACACTAGCACTCCTTTCTCCTCCCCAGAAATAAGCAGAATGCTCTTTAATACGTGTGCAAGCATTTCTGCATACATGCAGTGTACATTTTTCAAATCCTTCATAGAAAATAGTATCAAGAAATCAGTGAATAAGAATTGAATCATGAATCTCATTTACAATAGATGCTTTGAAGAACTTCCATTTCAAGCAGAGGTTGTCTACATATGCTTGCCAGTATTGATTCAACAGAAAACAGAACCAGTGTGTCTTGTAATGATTGTTAATAAAACTTCATACTTTTTCAAACTATACATAAATTGGGATGGGAACTTTACCCAATTTTCTCATATAGTTAAAGAATAACAAACTTTCAATGTCAAAAAAGTGAAGATGGTTTTATTTTGAGATTTTAAATCCTCTGCAGTGAGTCAGTCCAAATGTCTTGGTGGTTAAATACTGAATATTGAAGATGCTACACTTCATCTAACCAAATTTTTACAAGAAAAACCTACAGCTGATAAAGCTTGTGCAGCTCAAATATTACCAGACATTTTTTCAGTTTTCCTTTGAAATAAAAATAAGAATGAATCTTAAATATTAATAATGTACTCCACCTGGTGTTCCCATAGTTGTGTGTGATTGTCAAGGATAACAAATTTCTCCAGAAATTATAGCATTTTAAATTAAGGCTGTTGTTATTTATATAGCATCAAATGTGATTATTCGTTTATAAACGTACAGGTTCCCTGTCCCACAGAATGTACTATCTAAAACCCTGATCCTGCAGACACTTATGTATGTGCTTAATTTTGAGCATGATTAGTCTTACTGACTTCAATTTGACTGGTTATGTGAGTAAAGTTAAGCCCATGCTAAAGAGTCAGCATGATTGGGACTCAAATGGATGACATTTAAATGAAGGTTAATAATAGTAAAACTTTTAAATTGGAAGTGGTAACTTGCTGGCTACACATTTTTTCTCTTTCAACAATGAAGCTCATTTCTTCACAAACTGTGGTCAGCGGTCTACGAATGGTCAGTAAAGTTTTTTCATTTGGATCACAAAACCAACAGAAATGGTACCATCTATTGAGAAAAATAGAGAAATTAAGGGGATTGGAGTAATGAATGAGCCCCACTCTTACAAAGTAAGGTGTAACTGACTTTACTATTGACTAGCTGGCCTTCTCTGTGTTTATCAAGCTGTTAAGTACTTAACATTTTCAATTGAAGTCAACACTATTAGCATATATTATCAAGTTGCAGGTGGCGGTGTTTTGGGGCTTTTTTTCAGTTCACTACCTCCAGTGATTCTTGAAATGAATTAACTCATCTTTCAGTAGTGGGAAAAGCTGATAACATTGCAGTAGTACTGTAGAAGGCTGAGGTGCATTTTGGAGTGCCAGTGTACAAAAATCTGAAAAAGTCCATATTATTCCCCTTTATTCTACCTTCCATTCTTGTGTGTTACAGAAAAAAAAAAAAAAAAAAGCAATCAAGTCCATGGCTTAGTTCCCCGCACATGAAACATTCTATAGAGGATGATATAGT